CCTTCCCTTCCCTTCCCTTCCCTTCCCTTCCCTTCCCTTCCCTTCCCTTCCCTTTCTCCTTTCTATTTCTTTCTTTGCACCTTTTTCACTTTTTCACTTTTCTTTACTTTCCTTACTTTTTTCTTTACTTTCCTTACTTTTTTCCTTACTTCCTTACGCTTTCAAAATTTGTATTGTTTTTATTCTTTTAAAATGTATTATTTAATAAAAATGATATATGTATAAAAAGAAATAGCAGAGCTTAATTCAGTGACTAAGAAATTTATCTCTTCTTCCTCATTCCTCTAGAGGGATCCCAGGGCCCTTCCCCCTCACACCTAGCTACAAGATAAACATGTAATGGCGACCTCATTTTTTTCTGCCATGTCTCCATGATGCAAGTTCATCTCATCCCCACCCCATACCAGAGGCAGCCTTAAATCATCCTGACTTGTCCTTGTGTTAAAGTGGTATTTTCCCCTTAAGCCCAAGCAATTCACAGCACTTCCGAGGCACGCAGGGTTTAATTCATGTTGCTATCAGAAGTGTGATCAGACAGCCATAAGAGGTGGGTCAGCACATAGGAGGTGGGTTCAGGCTGGGACAAGCAAACCCCCTCCCCTCTGGTCCCTGGGGACTCTCCTCCAGGGCCATTCTTTTTTGGGGAGCTGGAGAGTCTGGCTCTTTCAAACTGGACTCTCCCACTACCAACCATTTCCCGGGGTCTACAGATGGTAGGCTCCAGGAGAGAAAGAGCACTGAAGGCATGCTGAAAACAGCTGGAGAAGTGATCTGTGGAGTTTAGGGCTGCCTTGTCAAGCAGAAGAGGGAGAGGCACCCCCCCCCCATCTCACAAAGGGCTGAGCACTGCATTAAACATACTTTCAAAACTGATTGTCAGAGCTGGCCAGTAAAACAGCAGAGACTCTGAACAGATCCCCCAGCCCCCTGCCCCAGAGCAGCTCTCCTCACTGCACTTAATCCACTGTAAAATAAGCTCTACCCATGAGGCTCTCCCACTTCACTGGGCAGCTGCCGCAGCCTGATGATCAGCAGATCTGGCAAGCTGGGGAGATACCTTTGTTGAAAGATGGCAAAGTTCACAAATCTAGACATCTGTCAAAACCATCCCCCAATCATAGCCTTACTGTAACTGGCAGATGATTTCTTGCTGTGTGGAAATGTTGAGAAAGGGGAAGGGAAGCAAAACCAGTGTTTTTACTTAAAATGTCCTGCACATCCAAAATCACCCCCCCCACACACACACACACCAGAATAGATGGTATTGAGGCAGTTTAAGGATCCCCAGTGGAGACGCAAATTTTATGCTGGTGAAGTTTTCGTCAGCTCAAGAGATGTATAGCACTTCTTTTTAGCCATGGGGAAAAGCCCTCAGGCATGACCACCATTCTTGTAGACAGTGGGTGGGAACGAGGGGAAACCACATTAAGGAGATGGGGTATGAAATAACGATGTTGGTATTTTATCCTCTCCTGAGACAAAAATGAATAAGGTTTTGGATGAAGCTTCTATTACCCTTCCTCATTCACAAAGTATTATGGTGGTAGATGACTCTCTCTCCCTGCTTGCAAGTTTCCCACCATGTGTTCTATCTATGTGTTCCCACCATGGTTTCCCACCACGTGTTTCCCCTTAACACTGGGGGAAAAACCCATTAAGGGTTGAAAGATTGAATAACTGAAACCTGTCTTTTAACTGATGATGCTAGGAATCCTCATTTCTTTGAAACTTTTTCGTATGCTTTATTCATCTTTGATTCTGCCCATGGGCATCTACAGAAGGAGGGAGGGCAAGTTGGGAGCAAATAATGCACATGTTTGATGACATCACCACACAAATGTTTCAGTTTTTGTACTTGTGTCAGAGATTCTAATGCAAGTGTGCAATTATGACAACTGTGGCATTTCTGTGATGATATCATTGCACCCACAGCATCACTTTGGTATCATCGCAATTTGTTATGGACTCTTTCTTTCTCTCTCTTATCTGTCATAAGGGCTTCCCCTGATCTTCACCAACATCAGCATCCTTGCAGGTGCTGGTGTGAGAATAGGCTGAAGCTGCCATAACCTAAAGATGAAGCAGGCACATAAGCAGAGAGGACAAAAGCCAGGAAT